CTTCCCCTGGCGGTGTCCCACGACTGCCAATCCCTTTCTTACAGTATTAAGATAATTGTTCAGGGTCTGCTTATGAGTTGAGAACATGTAGTACTCAGTTCTTTGTTTCTGTGACAGATCACTCAGTATTACTTGAGCCTGAGTGTCATTGACTCTAAAATAAAGTTTATTTTCCTTTTCTCATAGGTAAGTCATTAAGCTTATCTGCATGAGAAGATATAAATAAAACATTTTGCATGGGACTTGGCCCATAGTAAGCAACTCATAATTAGCAATGACTGTGTTGTTATTATTCTCATTAGCATAACTTGGTAAGACAAAAGTACTATCTTGACAGTATCCAGTAAAAAAGTCTTTGGTTCCACCAGAGGTCAAACTTGAGAGACCCAACCAAGACACAAGAGGGTACTTTATGACGTATAACTTTTGACTTCACCATTTCCCTGTTCAGAAGGAATCTTAACATATGTTCTCTTAGATTCCACTGATGTTGACTAAATAAGAAGATATAGAGACACCTGAGGAAAGGATAAATATATGTTTACGAGACTTTCCCTGATAAATCTGTATTTTCCCTGCTTCATAATTTGCATATAATTTATTTCAATGTAGCTTGTTACAGTGCTTCTCGTAAGGTAGTCGTTTATAAACAGATATTTGTCAAATGAAAGAGTATCCATCTTTCTACTCATTTATATAAGTTCTTCATGCATTAAATGTATAAACCACGCATCAGTTTTGCATGCAGTGACTATTTCTCCAATTTGTCACCTTCCTTATAATGTTGTGTTTTTTAACACTTTAATTTGCTCAAATCTATCATATTTTCCCCTCTATTTTTAAATATCATTTTATGCTTAAAAAGACCTTTCTCACTTCTCTGCATTTTAAATTCCTGACCATCTGCAGGCAAGACTGTTTTAAGGCAATGGCTTTCCCATTTGTCTCAGAGGCTGCACGTATCTGTAGCCCTCACCAGTCAAAATTAAAGGTCATTGGGAAGTGGAGTCAGCTCCTGTGAATTGTTTTCCCTGGAGAAGGTATTCTCAGTTCCTGGCTGCATATGCACAGTGACACAAGGAGACGTTTCCCAAGTCCCAGCTCTGGCACAGCCTTTTTCATGTTTTAGGTCTTTGATCATTTGAAGCAGAGGGCGTGAAGTCATGAGGAAGAGATAAAGGGATGGGAGAAAGAGAAGATGATTGGAGAAATCAGATCAACACTTTATTTGGAAGGTGCCATTGAAGTAATACCGAGCCCAGACTCCCATGTGTCCAAGCGCAATGAGTTTACTGAGCATCGCTGGGCCAGGTTCCTTTGACATGCTTCCTATGTGTCCTCACAATTGTAATGTGGACACAGTTGCTGTCCCCTCTTTATGTAACCACGGAAATTAGCAAAAAGGCTTATACAACCTGCTCCAGCTCACACAATCATTATCAGAGCTGGAATTCTAATTAGGGAGGCTAATTCTAAGACCCGCATCTTAACCCTGTGTTACATGCATCTCGGATTTAACATGTGAAAACAAAACATCTTATGTCTGCCTTAAAAATCGCTTCTTCCTGATTCTTCCCTATAGCTCTTTCATTTCATTTCCCTGCTGTTATTGCACTTGAGAAAATACAAAACAGCCAATGCTGTGACCTACAAAGCCCTACAAGATCAGGCACCTTTGACCTCATCTTAAACACCATTTCTCGCTTAAAAAAAAAAAAATCTACTCAACACTGGCCTTGCCTCTGGCCTTCAAACACACCAGGCTTATTTCCACCCATAACCTTGCAGTAGCTACCTCTTGTCCTTTAACACTTAACTTTGAAATTGGGGCTTTTTGGCATTTACCATTTATCTCAAAGGTCATCTCCTCAGCGATGATTTCCCTGATTCCTCAAAGTAGCTGCTTAATCATTTGCCTGTTTTATCCTATAATATTTGGTACTTTAAGCTACTTATTGGTTTGTTGTTTTGTCTCTCCATTCGCATAGATAGAGTAAAATATATGCTCTGTTGAGAGATTTGATTGTCTTACTCAAGTGCAGTGACCCCACTGCTCAGAACAGAGTTTGACATGCTATATATGCTCGATACATGTTTGTTTTAGTATATGAAGGTTTATTGAAAAGGGAAGTGGCAAGATCAAAATTGGCAGACAATTTATCTGTGAATGCTGTGGAGGATGGATGTGCAGTGAGCAAAAGCATTAGTCAAGGAGACAAGTTAGGAAGCTACGTAATATGAGGATGGCATTAGAAATAAGGAGAAGAAATGTGAGAAGTGTATGATAAGCCAGCAGAATTCTGAAACCGATAGAGTTGAAAGGACTCCCGGTCATTTGGAATAAGAAAGTACTATTAGTATAAATAAGGAATGCTAGAATGACCAGTCAGACTGGGAAACTTATAGATGGCATTGACAAGAGCACTTTTGACCTTTGAATCTGCGATGCCATTTGTGGGCAAAACACGTGCAGACTCAGACTTAGCAGAGAAGTCAGGACCCAAAATGAAGTTACCAGATGGTGTAAGAATGACCGAAGGTGGCATCGAAGAATGTGGCTTAGGGTTGAACGTTCAGGTCACATACTTTTAAGAGACAGACAGAAACAAAAAAAGAGGAAACAAAAAGTGAACCGGAAGAGGGTGGTTTTAGAAAAGCAGAAGAGAGAGGAATTTCAAGCAGAGAAAGATGACCGGACTATAGAGAGGATGGCCTAAGGACACAGGATTTGGTAAACGGGATTTGGATTTCGGAAACCGAGGCAGTGCTTTTAGGAGAGTGGTGAGGCTCTCAACGCCTCCGGGGGAAGACATCATGGTGACATCCCTGGATAATACAAGGCAGAGAAAACAGAGAAGAACCTTGCTTCAGTGAGCAGTAGTGTGAGAAAAGCAAGGTTCAATGAACAACGACTACGGCGGTCTCAGCTGAGATTTAGATGAGGCGTGACGATCCCAGCCAAAGTTGACTAAAGAAATGAGATCAGAACCGTCAACAGTATCAGTAACTTTTCTCAGAAGATTGAAAAATGAAAGAAGGGATAGAGATAACATTAACTTAGCTTCAGTGGGGAAAGGGGGTTTTTGTTTGTTGTTTTTTAAAATGGAGAAAACTTAAGTTTTTATAGTTTGAGCAAAAGGAGTCAATGCAAGAACAAAGGTTGAAAACACAGACTTTTAAAACATTCTTGGAAGATGAGGTAGACACAGGAGAAGAGTTGGAAACTGTGAACACTAATTTTGCTATTTGAGGCTCTTTTCCAAAGTTTTCTCACTTTTTTATAATTTCTTCTAGGTCTTCATGTGGGAGTGACAGCTTTAAGAGATCAAAATTTTTTTTACTGGGAGAATTTTCTTATTCAACAGTATTTGACATTGTATTATGTAATTCATAAATGCAATGGTCTGTCTTATGAACATTTTACTTTCTTGCCAGATGGAGTGTTAATGGATCAATATTATAGAAATTGCAGTTAAAATTCTTACTTTGAGGGAGAGGATTAAACCTAAAGTTCTTTTTCTTCCAAAGTTGGAGCTTTTTGTGAATATGAGACCCTCCACATCACCCTTTTGAGTGTTCTGACTTATGAAATGAAGTGGATAATAATTATTTGTGTAGGATCATTAAGATAAATTTTTATTTTTTAATACATATTTTAAGTCAATCACTATTTATTGAAGTCCTACCAAGTGCTAGAATTAAATAGGTTAGTTACAAATTAAAAATTTAATAATGATTAGTTGCTATTAATGTTATAAATATTTGATGTCTCTCCAAAGACAGAAATACAATAAAAATAGTATATGAAAATGTAAGAATTACTTTGATTGTTACATAAATTATTCGTGCTTGAAGGCTCAAATAATGGTTCCAACATACTCATTGGTAAAACAAGTTCAGTTAAGAAAGACACTACAAATTCATCACATAAAGAGCCTGGGATACTACAAGGGGGGTCCAGCAAAATCGGAAATTTATTTATAAAAATAAATTCTTATTCTTAAATGTTTAAACTTCAGTGACCTTCAAAGTATTTGCCGTTTGATGCGATTCACCTATCAAGATACTTTTTCCCTTGCTCAAGAAATGCTTGAACTAGTTAGTTTCGATGTGTTTTGGTGCTTCTGCCATTTTTTGTTTCACCTTTTCCACATCAGCAAGACGTTTCCCTTTGAGGGCTGTTTTTATTCTGGGGAAACAAAATAACATTGATTGGGGCAAGATCTGGTAAATGGGGGTGGAGATCATGCCAATTTGGGTCCGAAAGTGCTGAACACAGCATGGGGTGAGCAGGTGTGTTCATAAATCACCCATCATGAAATGGGCAAATGCATTGAAAGAATCTCTCCCCCAAAATTCACTGAAGCCAAATGCAGCATTACGCCAAACGCTAGCTGGTACACTGATGCCGACGGGTTCCTAAAACACTTACCTGGAGAGAAGCTGGCACGACCAAGGGTCCACCCTCCAGAAGATAATTCCGATTTTGGGGGTCCACCTTGTATGCGTTATGGAAGAAGTGATTACTGGACTGCCTCAGAGCAGTTCGCTGAGCTGCAGTTTGTTCAGTACTTAGGTCATAGTCTCTTCTTAGATAGCATATTTCATCTTCATCTCTAAAAGAAAAAAAAATTAAGCCTTTGAACGGTTTCTGTAACTCCCTGACCTCTTTGGGGGCTAGAGAAGGTGCAGTTATTGAAAGGTCTTACATGTAAGATTGAGTTGAGTTTGCAAGAGCCTCACCCTAGGCAAATGTCCTTTCTGTCTTTCACGGTCAAGTGGTAGAAGATTGATTGGAACTAACGTCACTGTCATTTGGTCCTACAGCTCAGTCATCTGAGGGTTGCTCTCTGCTATCTAATGTGTTCTTAGCCAGAGATCACACTTAGGTTTTTTTCTGAGTACCTAAACTGTCTGACAGGCAGAGAATCAATACATCCTGTTGCACAGCTTTTGAACCTGCTAGAGAAAAGTATCACTAAAGATGTGTTTCCTTGCAGGATAGCGTAGAATTGATCACCGCCCTGCTTCACAGTGGAGCTGACGTACAGCAGGTTGGGTATTGTGGCCTCAGCGCCCTCCATATTGCTACAGTAGCTGGTCACCTGGAGGTAAGTGATGCTTTGTCACCTGTGAAAACGAAGGTTACCTGCCTCTTTGGATTCTCGCTCCCAATTGTTTTCAAATGCTGCCTTGCAGATTCTTGAAGTTGGTTTATTTTTCAGCCAGTGAACATACTAATTTCTTCTTGGGGTAAATGTTAGCTATATAAATGTGCTTTTGAGAGTCAGTTCAGGCCAGTTGTACTAGTGTAATCAAACATCTTTTCCCGCAAAGGTGGCTGGATACACAGAGGCTTCATAGCGGAGGCTGTGTAAGTGAACCACTTGGTTACAATACCTGTCCTCTTGGATTTTGGAATTAAGCAACTCAGTTTCCACAACGTCCTATTTTAACCTTGAGGAAGTTACTGAATCCCATGACATTTGTGTGTCCTTCATTTGTAAAATAGGAATAGTCCTTGGCCTATTGTAATAATTAAATTAGATAATCCATATATAGCACTTTGCATATTGCTTTACGCCGAGTAAATGAACTAAATGTGAGGACTAAATGAAAGATTGTTCACTTATTCATCCATTTATGCATTACCTGAATAATTATTAAGCATCTATTATGTGCCAGATCTTGTTCTTGGTGCTGGAATGAGAGTGGCAAGAAAAACGGGCAAAAATTTCATCTTAGTAGTGTTAAGTTGCAAAGAATGAAACAGGCAATAGAGAAAAGAAAATATTATATAGTGCTAATTAGCAGTAAGTCCCTTACCAATAATAAAGTGGAGTAAAATGAAAACAGGACAGTGGAGAAATGAACATCATTCTAAATAAGCAAAACAGTGAGACCTCTGAAAGAAGGTAATGTTGGAACAGAGCTATAAATGAGATGAGAACACCAGCCATGCTAACGGTGAGACAAACATTTCAGGCCTAAGGAATAGCCCATGTGACGGCCCCGTGGCATAAAAAAGCTGCATGTACTTGGGGGACCTGATTAAACCTATGTTTTTAAAGTGGATTGAGCTGGAGGTAGAGGGATGAAGACATGGTCTGGCCAGATCACACAGTATTTTAAAGGTCACAAGAAGAACTGGAAGTACTCATTTTATATATCCTACTTGGCGAAGCACTTCCCTTTGCATTATATGATTAACTTCACAAATCCTCATGGAATAGTTTTTATTGTGATTGCCATTTGACAGATATAAAACTAAGGCTCTTGTATAGTGATTGTCTTTACAAATTACAAAACCATTAAGAAAAAGAGGTATGTTTGGAATCCTGAAAATTTTACTCAAAACCTCGTGACTTTCACACTCTATCAATTGTGGTGATAACATGCAGGTCAATGATATAAAAATAATGAAGTCTTACATCCTCATGATTAAATAGTTGCCTATTTCTCCCTTGTAGTCATGTTGCAAATTAAATTGTATCTTCACTAATATACACACACACACACACAAGCTGTGAACAAATAGAGTCACATATAAAATTATACATAAAGTCTACAAAATAGGTGTGATCAAACTCTCATAACAGAGTCACTCTGAAGTCTCTTACCTTCGATAAATATTAAAATATCTTATTGAGAGCAAAATGGTTTTCTTCACATTGCCTTATTTCCTAGAAAATAAATATTTTTGGTGAGTTCATTGCAAATATAAGTGAGTTCATCTTACTTATGAGGAAAGAGGAAATCCCATTAGATTCAAACATAAATGTTTCCACAAGAAGAGATCAGCTGAGGCCAGAGATAAAGTAAATGAAGGAGTCAACATTAAGGAATCTGGGTAGAAGAATTGATGAGGTAGACGTTGCTTTCTAGTGAAACATACTCAACCTTCTAATGCCAGGAAAATGACAGAATGCTTTTCAAAACAAAAAATCTTTTTTTTTTTTTTTTGTCTGGTGTTGAGCTGATTACATGTGTGAATGCTGGAATTACAGCTGTGTCAAAAGCAAAGTAGTTAAGAGCTTGGTTTCTTCGTTTCCTATTCAAATAGCTCTATTTTCCTGCCCTGTAAATCATAGCATGGAAGGAAGTTTCACATAGCTTCTACCAGCCTTAGGGAAACTTTACCCAAATGATTCCAAACAGGTCCCTACTCCTGTCTCGCAGTTCTCCGTGTATTCCCTGACTTTCCTCACTTAGTTTTTGGCAACATTTCATGACTTTTAGAGTCAATCACTGGTACTGCACAAAACACCACGTGTAGATAAATCAACCTTTATTCTCTTCTTACATAATGAACTAATTGGGTTACTGATCAAAAATTAAGGAACAATGGTATCCAAAAAAACCTATCTGAAACAATCATATTCAGAATGGAATATTTTTAGGGATTATTTCTTTCAAAGCTATTTGCAGTTGATCTTTGAACAACATGGGGTTAGGACACTGGCCCCCTGCAGAGTTGAAAATCTGCACATAACTCTTGACTCCCCCAAAACTTAACTATGTGTAGCCTATTGTTGACCAGAAGCCTTACTGATAACATATTTTGTATGCTATATGTGCAATATATTGTATTTGTACTATACACTAAGCTAGAGAAAATAAAATGTTATTAAGAAAATCATAAGGAGAAAAAATATATTTAATATTTATTAAGTGGAAGTGAGTCACGAGAAAGGTCTTTCTCCTTGTCCTCATCACATTTAAGAGGTTGAGGAGGAGGAGGAGGAAGAGGAGGGGTTGGTTTTGTGGCTCAGAGGTGGCAGAGGCAGCAGAAAACTCATGTGTAAGTGGACCCATACAGTTCAGACACATGTTGTCCAAAGGCCAAATGTAAGTGTAATAAATAATCACTGTCAATAGAGTTTTTTTTCTCCACATTCATTCATTCAACACATTCTTGAGTTCCTACTTCATCTGTAGTGCTGGAATGCAGGAGTGATACACCAATTATGACACAGCTTTTTCCCTAAAGAGTCTGCAATGCAGCTGAGTGCACAAATGAATATGCAGGAAAAATAAATAAGCAATCCAAAAGTAAAACAGCAATATAGGTATAAGTAAGGACTGGAAAAGAGTCCAAGATGAGAGAAGGTTGGAAAATTAGGAAGACAGATGCACCTCAACTTATGATGGGGTTATGTCCTGATAAGCCCATCATCAATTGAAAACGTCATTAAGTGAAAAGTGCATTGAATGCCATTACCCAGCTGAACATCATAGCTTAGCCTAACCTACCTTCAGTGTGCTCAGGACTCTTACATTGATCTACAGTTGAACAAAATCATGTAACACAAAACCCATTTTCTTAAAAAATGCTGAATAGCTTGTGTAATTTATTGAATACTCTACTGGAAATGAAAAGCAGAATGGCCGTCTGGGTACTCAAAGCATGGTTTTTACAGAAGGTGTGCTGCTTTCACACCACTGAAGTCAAAAATTGTAAGTCAAATAATCAGAAGTGGAGATATTCTGTAATTCGAAATATGATAATTACATAGCAAGAGGGGTCAGAGAGCACAAAGTTAGAAGAGTTAAGAGTTCACTGGGAATAAAGGTCAATGTGAACAGAAGAGTTAGGGAAGGAGTGATGGGCGGGCGTTTGAAACTGGTCTGGACTTTGAAGAATGGTAGGATGCAGACAACAAAAAGAAGGACCATGCCGGCTCGGTGGCCCAGCCTGTCATCCCACGCCTTTGGGAGGCTGAGGTGAGTGGATCGCCTGAGCCCGCGGGTTCGAGACCCGCCTGGGCAGCGAGACCTCATCTCTCCAATAAATCAAAAAATCAGCCGGGCATGGTAGCGAATGCCTGTAATTCCGGCTACTTGAAAGGCTGAGGCGGAAAGATCGCCGGAGCCCAGCAGGCGAGGCTGCGGTAGCCGGGAGCAGCCACTGCACTCCAGTCTGGGCGACAGAGTGAGACTCCAACTCAAAAAAAAAAAAAAAAAAAAAAAGACCATGTCCAAAAATAGAAAGAATTGAGTTGAGCACATTTCGGGAAGAGTGGCTAGAAAGACGGCATGAAACAGACTGTGAAGAATCCAGGTAGGTACCTTTGGGTGTTAGGAATGGAGCAGACTAACGAAACTTGGACAGTAGAAGTCCAAGGAGCTTGTTTAAGGCAATGTAGTAGGCAATTACTTAGTTTACAACAGACACCACACAAGGCTAGATGGTGTGGGAGAGAAGTCAACAACTAGAACACAGAAGTTCTCACTCTTTGAAGAAGTGTAGAACCAATCGCATTTTTCCCACAGGAAATGGGGAGCCATTGAGAGATTTTGAGCAAGAGAATGATTGGAGTTTAATAAGAAAATGTGAGAAAGAGGATTTCTTGACTGCCTTAGTATGAATTGTAGTGTGATAACACGTTTAGATGAACAGAGATAAAGGATTGGGTAAAGGATTTGATTTGGAGGAAAAATCAATCAGCATGTTGTTTTTCTGATGACATCCAAATTTTCAACTGGAAATGTTCAGTAGTAATTTAGAAATACACAGACGTGTTCACATTTTGGAAATCATGTGTATAGAGGCAATATTTGAAATTATAGCAATGGCTGAGAGTTGTATATTGGGTACAATGGATGACCCAAGGATTGAACCTATGAGAACATACAGAGACTTGGAGGAATTATAGAGTAGCCATTGAAAGAGACAGAGAAGGGTTGCTCAGAGTGGCATGAGGAAACCTAGGAGACTATGGTAGCACAACAATTAGGAGTTTTCGCAAGAGTCAAAGCATCCTGGGTATCAAATAGTGCAGAAAGGCTGAATGCAGTGGGACAGAATACACAGAGACTATTTCCTTGCCCCACCAAAATCAAGGTGCTTATTTCACTCCTACTTTTTCCTGTCTGGGTTAGCAGGCTAGTGGCGGAACAGCAGTGGGAGTTTCCTTTCATTGGCACTCACAGTCTTTTATTGCCCACCTTTCTCTGGGAAACAATGGCTGGTGCTAAGCCTGACAGAGCTCTTTGTCTCCACACATCACATTCAGACCCTCCATTAGTGTCTCCAGTGTGTTTGTCCTCCCGTAATTGTGAATTCTATTAAACAATTTTGCAACGAAATTTACATCGACTAGGCAGCTGT